GGGGCAATGGTATAGGATTGGGGTGTGGAACAGGTAAGGAGACAATGCTGACGGTAGGATGCCTTATCATGTTGGCCACCACTAGGGACAAATGGTGCTCATTGCCACTGGGGCCCCACAAGAAACCTTAAGAAATGTATCTCAGGACCATGTGCCTGGGGGTAAAAGAAGAAATCATCATTGGTCAAGGGTGACTCCACCCGTGCTAACTTCCCTGACCTTCTGAGTTAGGCGTGTTTGGGGGAACAGTGGGTTCTTTAGGGTGTGCCATGCGTCAGCATCAGAGAAGCCCCAGGGCAAGAAGGGAGAGGTGCTCAAAGACAGAATTCATACTGCTATGACGCTGAGTGCACCTGATTAAGATCTGGGGATTTGAATGTGTTTTCCATAGCAAAAACATACTTCATAAACAATTTTTAATAAAAAAAATTAATTAAAACTGTGTAGAGCCTCTGTTCCACCTGGCAGAAAAAGCTTTTTGCAACAACAATTCCTTTGTGTTTTTATATTAACTTAGTTGTAATTCAAGTGTAAATTGCAGCCCAATTTACATACAAGCATAAAATAATAGGAAGTGGGGAGCAGCTGTAGATAAACAAAAAGCAAAAGGAAAAAAATGCAGTGCATTCAAATATGCTAAGTTTCTTAAGAATAATGATAATTGCTAATGTTACTAGGGATGTGGGTAAACTCATATAGTTTTAGATGTCTACCTGTAGTATACATTGGTTTTCTTCCTTCATAAAGCAAATTAGTATTGCATTTCAAAAGCTACAAAAATATCTTTAGTAGATTCTCTAAGTGCCCTGCCCATATCCCCTCAACAGCCACCTATACTCTTAGAGGTTATTTTCTGCTTAAAGATGTTCTGGCCATGGGAACTGTCCATTTGGGCTGCTATAATCAAAATCCCATAGATGTGCTGGCTCAAGCATTTATTTCTCACAGTTCTGGAGGCTGGGAAGTCCAAGATCAAATGCCAGTAGATGTAGTGTCTAATGAGAGCCAGCTTTCTGGCTCATGGATAGCCGTCTTTTTTTCTTCTCGCCTTTTCCCCCTGTGCAGCAGTAAAGGAGCAATAGAACTCGCTGAGGTTTCTTTTAATGAGGCTCCACCGTTGTGACGAAATTGCTTCCCAAAGGTCCCCTCCATTTCAACATGTGAATCAGGGGGAGAAGTAGACACGCATCCACAGCAGGAACACGCTCAGCTTACACCAGGGCAAGCTGGAGTGCCAGAGCACCAAGAGCCTCTAGAAGCTTTCTTCAAACCATAACAAGTGGGGAGTTCGTGGTAACACCCCAGCTTCCTTGCCTTTCGGTTTGGATAGCTCAGCAGTAGTTCTGGACTTCCTCTTGGAGCTCTCCAGGGGAACCAGGTCCAGTTGCCTACAGCGGTAACGGGTTGTTAACAAACCCTTTACGGCTTCCTTCCTCTCTGTCCCTGCCTCCCTTCCACACTCTTTCACCAGGGTTTCCTGGCATCACCTCCCACATAACATACTTGCACTCAAATCTCCTTCTCAGGGCTTGCTTCTGGGAAAATCTAAATGGAGATAACAGTGATACCTTTTTGCCCAATAATTCCACTTCTGGGTATTTATCCAAAGGAAATAATCCTTAAAAAGGAGGGAGGAGTTATATCCAAAAAGGATATTGCAGCATTTTTTTAAAAAATTAATTAATTTATTTATTTATGGCTGTGTTGGGTCTTCGTTTCTGTACGAGGGCCTTCTCTAGTTGTGGCAAGCGGGGGCCACTCTTCATCGCCGTGTGCGGGCCTCTCACTACCGCCGCCTCTCTTGCTGCAGAGCACAGGCTCCAGACACACACGCAGGCTCAGTAATTGTGGCTCACAGGCCCAGTTGCTCCGCGGCATGTGGGATCTTCCCAGACCAGGGCTCGAACCTATGTCCCCTGCATTGGCAGGCAGATTCTCAACCACTGCGCCACCAGGGCAGCCCTGCAGCATTTTTATATGGCAGGAAAATTGGAAACAATCTAAATGTCCAACAGAGATCCATTCAGTCACATTTGTTTTTCATCTACTGTATTCCAGGCACTATGCTGGACGTGGGATTCCCAAATGGAACATCATACAGTTAGATGGGACAGGAGACAAGGCAGGAAGATGATGAAACCTCAACTAAGGGAGCAGCAGTGGGGGACAGAGTGGAGCAGAGAGAGAGAGTCCTTAGAAGGAAGAATCAACAGAACCAAGTGACCTGTTAGACACAGAAGAGAAAGGATGGGGAGACGGTGAGGATATCGTCCAGGTTTCTAGCTTGGGTAAATGGGTGATGGGAGAGAGAGTGCAGAAAAAGAAGCAGGTCTCAACAATAAGGTCTTGAGTTCAGATTTGAATAAGTTGAGTTTGAGCTTTACTAGATTGCTTCAACATTATTTAACGTCTGTGGACCCTCATGCCACTTGACTCTACAAGCCAGGCTCCTGGACTCCTGTCTGCATGAACTTTCACTCAAAAGAAACAAAAATCCAACTACACAAGCTTTGAAGAATACTTTAGATCTTTCTTATCAGTTTTCTTCAAGTCTTGTTTCAGGAGTTTTCACAGGATATACCCCAGAAACATCCCAGAAATCCTCTGGAGACATTGCTCCTTCTTCTCAAATTTCCTGTGGTCATAAAAATACCTCCTCATTGTCTCTGAAGCAGTAATTCTCCCACCACCGTTCTTCTCTCTCCATTCATTTCCTCCTCTGCTCTCTGCCCCTCCCATGTGTCTCACAACTGAAAGATACCATCAGGAGTACCAACCGCTGGAGGCCATGCTGAGCCTCTCTAGGGAGACTGGAGGGTCCAGGGCAACCCATCTCCCCCATGGAATGAGGTAGACGGTGCCACGTGGGGAATGTAGTTCATCTCTGTTCATTTCATGGCTCGCAGTCAATGCAGATGCTGCTGGGGTGAGAACCACTGCCTTAGAATCCTAGCTGCTTGCAGCAAACTAGGACAAACTGTTAGAGGGCCAGCGCTGCTTCCCCAACTGGGGGTTGACAAGTGAGTTCCTGAAGGATGGTGTGCATCTGGTGACAAGAACTGTTGCTTTGAGATCAAGATTTGATGAGGTGATTGATGCTAAGAATCATGGGGTATCCCAGGAGATACCATGCCTTTAATCTAAATAATCAGTTTCAAGGACAGAACTTCAGAAACCAGGACAATTAGATTGTGGGGCACTTCTGGAGGGAGATCTTATATATTCCTCAATTATACTCTGTAAGTAGAAAGGCTGATTGGCTGCTTAATTTTCTTTATTACAGTTTCTTCTTGCTCCCACAGCTTACTGGTTTTTTCTGATCAGTGTTTTCATTATTTTATGTAAGGACACTTTTTTTTCCCCAAGTATTTTAAACCCCTCATGTAGCTCTGTTCCACAGAACTTCGATGATTTTTATGCTCTGCAATACTTTAGCCACTAGCTCATGTGGCTATTGAGCATTTGAAATGTGGCTAATTCAACTGTGGAACTGAATTCTCAATTTCTGTTAAAGAAAAAAATTATTCCTGACACTTATAGAAGATGATGGGGTAAGGAAGACTTTATTCAGGTGTGTGTGGGGCGACTACTGTGACAGGTATAGGGACAATGGCAATGGGTCTTGTAGTGGGGGAGAGATTGGGCTCAACTCCAAATTCAGAATGGGAAGTGGGAATTTATAGCCAAGCTGGGGGAAGGGGGGGGGTGTCAGTGGATGGAAAATTACTAAGAGGTGTTAAAAAATGAAATTCAACTGAGTAAAATTTAAAGATCTTATTGGCTTTATTAAACGATTCATGTATTGGGCAGATGGACAGGAGCTCCAAGAAGCTACACAAAACTAAAGACTTACAGGCAGTAGGGAGTTGGAACAAGGGAGTTATCCCAGGCAGAGAAGTGAACTGGTTACTGCAGGGTCAAGGGCAGGGGTCTATCAGGCAGATCACCTAACCAGTGGTGATTAGTGATTCTTGATTTACTCCTTTAAGTTCCATTTCTGTGAGAGCTGAAACTACCATCAAGTTTAGGTTTGGTGACACGGGGCTTCCCAAGCGACTTCATTTTGGGCCTGTAGTCTTTTTTTTTGTTTTTGTTTTATTTGCGGTACGCGGGCCTCTCACTGCTGTGGCCTCTCCCGCCGCGGAGCACAGGCTCCGGACGCGCAGGCCCAGCGGCCACGGCTCATGGGCCCAGGCGCTCTGCGGCACGTGGGATCCTCCCAGACCAGGGCACGAACCCGCGTCCCCTGCATCGGCAGGCGGACTCTCAACCACTGCGCCACCAGGGAAGACCTATAGTCTTGTTTTTAACAGAGGAAGCACGGGGGGTTCTGGGTAAGCCTAATATGATTCTAGCTGAAGGCAGGCCACGGATATCAGATGTCACCCCGGGGGACGGCAGAAGATGCAGAACCTGGTTAAATATCAAGAGTGATCACAGACTTCCCTGGTGGTCCAGGGGTTAAGACGCCATGCTTTCACTACAGGGCGTGCAGGTTCGATTCCTGGTCCAGGGAAGTTCTGCATGCCGTGAGGTGTGGCCAAAAAGAGAAAAAAAGAAAAGAAAAATTAAGAGTAACCAGATACTGAGAATGGGGGATTCTGGTTAACTGACTTACCAGGATTCTTGCTAAAATTCGACAATGCAGAGAGAAACAGGGCAGCCCAAAAGTTGAGACTTAGCTGAAAAAGAGCTCAGAGGATCCTGAGTAGAGTTTGGTCAAGGAGAGAATCTTTGTCATTTCATTTAATTTTAAGTAAAATTTAAATTTCAGTGTTGGACAGCACACTAACATTTTTCTAACCCTTCACATTTCTTCCTGAAGATTATAAGGTGTCCTAAGCACATGAGTTTCCCTATGTGAAGCGAGATGATTTCCATAATCAGCACGTTTGTTTGGTAACAGACGATTTGCTCTTTTTACAGGTAACACTAACATTTAAGTTGTGTAACGTTTACTTAACAAGCTGTAGACTCCAACCTCCAGGAGAGGTTGCTTCTCCTTTTGCTGCAGCGGTTTATTTGGCACAAAACCCGCGGGCGCCCAGGAGCGGGCATCAGTCCTGGTTTACATTTTCCGAGAGGAGAAAGTGGGGCACAGGCCGTTAAGCTGACCTAGAGAAGGTTCAAAATAAAAATCAAACCCCCAAGCACTCAACCTGCTGGTCTCCCCGGAGTCCTGCCTCTGGCGCCGCCAGGCCCCGCCCCCTCCACCTGGGCACCGCCTGGACCACGACTCCCCCGCCGCCCGCCCCGCACGGCGCAGCCGGCGCGCTGACGTCACGAACCAGGTACTTTCCCTGCGGCTGGGGCGGCGTGGGGGCGTGGCGGGCCTGGAGCACGCATGCGCAGCAGCGGCTGCGCGCTGCCCGGATCGTGCGGGGCCCGAGCCTCTCCGCCGGCGCAGGCTCCCTCGCGCCAGCTCGCGGCCGCCGCCATGTCGGCCGCCATCGAACGGGAGTTTGATGAGTTGGACGCTCAGAATCGCTGGCAGCAGCTGTACCTGGTGAGTGGCGGGCTCGCGCAGCCGCCGCCGCCCCCTCCGAGGACCTGGCTTGCGCACGCCGGTGCCCTCCGGCACTCGCCGCCTCCGCCGCCTCCCGCTGGGGCGGAAGTGGCGGCGCGCGGGCCGCCTCAGGGCGCGCGTGCGCCGCCCGGGCCTCGGCGCTCGGGCGCTCGGGGTTGGGGCGGCCGCGTGCGCGCAGGCGCAGTGGGCTCCGGGGGGCGGTGCCGGGGGGCGGGCGTGGGCGTGGACGCGACGGTACAGGGGGCGGCTGGGGGGTCGGGGGGTCGGGGGGGCCGGGGAGGGTCGCCGAGCCGCGGTGGGGCGGCCGGACAGTCGCGGCCCGAGCGTCCCCAGTACGCCGTCGCCCCCTCAGAGCTTTCTGGAAGGAGCTCGGTGAGTCAGGGTAGGCGCCGAGGGGTCGTCCACGCCCCGGGACCCGGCCTGAGGGGCTCGGGTCTCCGGGCGTCGTGAGGCAGCTCCCCGAACGCGGCGCCCGGCGTGATTTCTGGTCGCCTCGTGGAGACGCGCCCTGGGACGGTCTCCTGGGTCAACCATGGAGCCTTTCGATCGAGCAGAACTTAATTTTATCTCTTTTAAAGTGACCTAGTTGTCTGCTTCCTACTGCTAATTATTGCATGTTATTTCCAGGATTGCAGTGAGTGGTTGTGAGCTAAATGCTGCTCCCGCTGTCAGCTCGCTCTGTGTACAGTAAAACGACAAAAAAAGGGCTTTCCTGTAAATCTAGATGCTCCCGGGCTTTTCTCCTTCCCGTTTAATTAGATGACAGTTCCTCTTGTCATTATGTTCGTAATGTAACGTTTTCTTCTTGAGCACATTAGCAGGACGTGTAATAAATACCCTGATTCACGTGGGTCAGAGTGTGTTAGAATAGGGTACTAACTTCAGAGAATGCTGGTAAGGACTTTCCCAATTATAGAAAGTTTTAAATGCAAATTCTCGTAGGAAGCTCTATGTGAGAGCCTGCCAGCTGTGTCTTCTCCAGTTGCATTTGTTTTAGGAGAGGCTGCTGTCCCCAGGTTGCGAGTGGTTTATCAAAATACAGGTTTGAGAGGAAACGATGCATGCTACAGCTTAATTCAGCTTGACATTTTGATTAAGTAGTTTGGCTTTTTTGGTTATGATTAATATCCATGAATATTCAGTGAAAAGTGTAATCCATCTCACCAGAAAAATGCATTTATATCCACTGAAAATTGCATTCAGTTTCATAGAGTTCAGGAAATCTTTCCATGGGCTTCTGCCTAGGAATCCTTTACTGGATTGGTCAAAGCTCTTATTATTTTTTTTCCTAGTGGAAGAACAAGAGCATTTGTTCGGTCAGTGCAAATCATGCAATATACACTGGTGTTTTGTTTAAAGTTGGTCACAAACCAGGAAAAATGGAAAGCAAGTCCAGAAAGAGTTTTGACTCTGAGTGTTTTCTTTTGACTCTAAACATCCTCTCAGCCATTCTACAGATTGTGTTGTGCACCCTGCCCTGAGCCTTGGGGATTCATCAGAGAGCCGCTGACCAGGTTCCTGCTCCTGAGGCACTTACTTTCTGGGACTTGGTCTCTTGAAGGCCTTATCACAATTCCATATTTTCATTTACTCACTTGTAACACCTTAAAATGTGCCAATGTTAGACGGAGTCCCTGCTCTCCAGGATCCAGCCAACTGGGGAGTGGTAACTAGGGAAGCAGATGAGAACATGAGAGTAAGAACGCAGAAGCTCGTGTTAAGCACGGTGTGCTGTGCATCCCCCACAGGATGCATCTGGGAGTCCTGGCACAGCTTCCTGGAGGAGGTAGGGCCTTGCCTGAGTCTTGAAGAACAAGTCGGCCAGGGGAGGAGAATGAGGGAGGGAGAGAATTAGTGTTCAGAGGAAGAAGAAATGTGTGCGGAGACACAGAGCATAGAAGACCAAGAGAATTGCCAACGGCTGAGCCTGGTGCAGAGTGCGGTGTGACGTTGAGGTGCCAGGGGGACAAGGCCAGACAGTAAGACGGAGCCCGTGGGCCCTTGTAGATCAGTCTGAGGACTGTGAGCTAGTAGATAGCACCCACTGTGGAATTTGATGCTTGGAAGTACCACAATCATATTCTCTTTACTCTTTAGCAAGACCATTCTAGCTGTGGGTTGGGTGTGGCTAACTGTGGGCAGCTGGTACAGGGAGGGGGGCTCTTTGGGAGTCAACCTAAGGAGAGATGTTGAGCTCTTGAACTCAGGCAGTGGCAGGAAGAATGAAGGGGAGATACAGATTTGAAATGCTAAGGGAATAGATTTGTTTGGTTTTGAAACTGTTCAATTTGCTTCCTGTAAGACATCGAAATGGGAATAGTTTAATATGTAAATTTGGAGTTCAGGAGAGGTCTGAGTTGTAAATGATTTTGGACATCATGAGCATGCAGATGGTATTTGAGGTCCTAGATGCAGGTGAGATCACTTAGGGAAAACAGAGAGGGTTTGGAAATGCCGAAAGCCAAGGACAAAGTCTTGACAGATAACAATGTTTAAGGGCATAGGTAGAGAAAGAGGAGCTTGCAAAAAGAAAGGCTAGAGAGGAATAGCCATAGAAGTGGGGGGAAGATTGGTGGTGGGTGTGGAGGGAGCTGATGCTCAGCAGGCACGTGCTGCAGGGGCACCAAGGTCAAAACCGAAAGTGCCCGTTAAATTAATGGCTAGAAGATCAACAGATTCCTTGCAAAGAGCAAGTTGAGAGGAATACGGAAGTCAGATGTGGGATGGAGTGGGGAATGGTGGCTGAAATGAAGCATGAGTATGTGACTTCCCTACTTTAAACCTTCAGTGGTTTCCCATTGCTCACCATGTAGACTTCAAACCCCTGCCACTGCTCACAAGACCACAGGTCCTGCCTCCCCATATGACTTTCTTCCCTCTTTGTCATTGGGTTCTTCTGTTCCTTGAAATGTGCTGTCTGTCCTTCCCTTAAGGCCTTTGTAGATATAGTTCTCTTTGCCTGAGCACAACTTTTCTTTCCCTTTTTCTTTCCTCCTTTGCTTAACTACCTCCTCATTCCTGGAGTCTCACTTCCTCAGGGTGAGGCGGTGGGAGGAGCTTCCCGGCCCTCCCTTGCAGGGTTGAATCCCCTGGTATGTACCCATAGTGTCCCATGGCCTCCCCTTTCAAGGCAGGGCATTGGATGTGATACAGCAGCACAGGACTTTGAGACCACAGTTTCTGTTAAGCAAACCACTATCCTTTGAGTAGGAAAAAGTGTTACAGTGGGCTTTCTTCTTTGTAGGTCACAGCAGTGGGTATATTGATGATAACATTTGAGAAGAGGTATGCTTTTTTTGGCGATACAAATTTGACTAGGAAAAGAAAGGTTTTGCTCCTGAGCAAAAAAGCTAAATATAACTAAGAGCTAGACTTGCTTAGTGGTGTGAGGACTTTTGCTTTATACCTTATTATTCAAAGTCTTGTAGGAAAAGGGAATGTATTATTTTGAGACTGATACTCTGGCCCCTTACCCTTTTTTTAAAAAAAATTTCTTATTTATTTGTTTTTATTTTTGGCCGCATTGGGTCTTTGTTGCTGTGCGCGGGCTTTCTGTAGTTGGCGGTGAGTGGGGGCTACTCTTCATTGCAGTGTGCAGGCTTCTCATTGTCGTGGTTTCTCTTGTTGCGGAGCATGGGCTCTAGGCACGTGGGCTTCAGTAGTTGTGGCACATGGGCTCAGTAGTTGTGGCTTGAGGGCTCTAGAGCACAGGCTCAGCAGTTGTGGCACATGGGCTTAGTTGCTCTGTGGCATGTGGGATCTTCCCAGACCAGGGCTCCAACCCCTGTCCCTTGCATTGCTAGGCAGATTCTTAACCACTGTGTCACCAGGGAAGCCCTGGCCCCTTACTCTTTTTACCCCCTTTGAACAGTTGCTCTTATAACTTTTGAAATGGGAGGTTTCTGGGAATGAATGACTGGATTGGAGCTGACTCTTCATCTTTTCTTGGCCTCATTAGCCTTCCTGCAGGCTGTGCCAATGCCTTGTGCAGATTCAGGCACCTAGTGGGCACTTGGTATGTGTTTGCTGAACATGACTTCCTACCACAAATGGGTGACTTGATGTGTCCACATGATTGGGGAGGGGGGAAGCCTAAAGAGATTGGAGATTGAAGAAAGAGAAGGGAAGATTATTGGAGCCAGAAACCTCAGGAAGCAGGAGCTGATGGGATCAGGAGCACACGGCAGAAGACTTGCCTTGAACGGGCATGGTTGGCAGAAGTGAGATTGCTGGAAAAGTCTAATTTGTCTGAGCGACAGACTAATAACATTAATGTAGTCTGAGGTTAATTCTGGCTTTTTGAGAAATGTTCATGATTGCTTTTTGCTTTTCCTTTGTCGCTGATGATTGCTGTCTGAATCAGGCTGGGGCATTAGAAGGGCAGAGGAAAGGAATGGAGTACTGTGAGCCGTTCGGGGAAGAGAGTAAAACTGTAGGGAAATGGCAAAAGCTAAGTCATGGAATAATGTTTCTAGTAAGTGGTAGCTCAGAAGGAATTTGGTTGATTAATCAGACTTTGTGGAACTCTTAACTGACTGGTCATTTTTCTTTATTAGAAATTCGTAGTTCAAATATTGTCAGAGTAAGAGCAGTTTTTACCATTTGTGATTCAACTAATTTTTAGAAGTTAAATATCAAATGAACTCTATTCTAGTACTTACAGTGAGCAGTCAGTGTGGAGGATAAATCAAAGCTATCTTATTGTAAAACACTTCCCTTGCAGTGTCTGTTGCACATTCTCCTGCCAGCCTTTAATTTAAGTTCTCAGTGCTTGCCATATTAAACTCCTTGAATTTCCTTGAGAATCACCTGCTTTCTCACACCTTGGAGTCTTTGCACATGTTGGACATAATCTGTGTCTA